CAACCTGTTCCAGCGTATCAGTCCAGCCAGTTCCACTACAAGAGCATAGAGACTGATACTCCAAAAGCCAATCCCTCTTTGGGAAGCCAGGACACCTTCATGCCCAGCATGTGGTTAGAGCATGCAGGCTTCGTGGCTGCCTTGGCACTCTGGGTTTCCCACCACAGGTGTATTCTCTGCAGTCTCTGGTGGGTTTCAGCCACAAACATCCTTTGTTTCATGCTCCTCCACTCCTCGTTAGGAAGATGTCGGAGAGGGAATGGTTTGGTGTTGGGATAATCAAATCGCAATCTGTTTCAGGAATGAAAACATAGAAACAGCAGAGCCCTACAAAAGTACTAGTGCTTCTCCAAGAGCCAACTGGTCGTGAAACTGTGGCAGATGGAGGGTGATCCTCTGGTATTCTGCAGCCAATTATGCTTTGGATATGACAAGCAAAACCATGCTGATAGGAGCAGAAGAGGGGAGAAGAACTCATTCACTGAGAAGCCCAGTATCATGCTAATTGCCTCCCATGTGGGAGATGTGTTGCCTTTGGTAGGGGGGAGAGGAACCTCCATCAGTCCAACCTGAGAAGCGTGGCCAGAGACCCAGACAGTTCACCAGCCAGGAAATGGGAACATGGGAAGTGCCCTCCTACCCTCATGGCCAGATGAGTCTCCTTGCAAGCCCCTGCAGGATGTGTGAGACATGGCCAGGAAGCAGACGGCTGGACATTTAGGGACCTGGAAGGAGGACTGTTGGGCATATAGCAGAGTGCTGCCTCAGCTGCATCTCCTCCTGCCTGGACATCTTCTCAATGTATAGGCTACCGCTGCTTGAGAGGATTGCTGTTTCTTAGGAGGTTCTATAGGAGTAATTAACAACTGCGTGGAGTTTTAACAAGTGGTGGATTCTGAAATGGGGATGGGGCAGCACTGGCTGTTTGAACAGACTGAGAGGAAAGTGGTTGGGGAGCAGCCCCACAGAAAGAGATCTGGGGGTCCTGTGTGGAGCCAGGAGTTGGGCTTAGGTCCTTGTGAGTCCTTTCCTACTGGGGATATTCTACGATTCTTTGGAGCTGCCAGCCTTCATGAACTGGAGAACTCTGATTAACCCATTACCTGCTTTTTTGCACCAGAGATATGTTGTACTCTTCATCATGTCCTGCATATTCTCTGCTCTTTAGAAGATCGTAGTGACACTTAACGACTGCAATACCAGGCATTGTTGCAGAACTCCAGGAGGAGTCTGCTCCAAACTTTCCTGCTCTTTATTTCACAGGAGGGACAACAAGCCTTGGAGAATGGTCAGGCTCAAGTGGGGAGAGAACTGAACCAATTTATTTTTTGACCTGGCCTTGAGCATCTCTAAGGATGGGGCATAAGGAAGAAGGGGCTGTATGGAGATGACTCTCCTGTGGCTGAAGGTATCACCATAGCACCAGCCCTCCTGAAATGGCTTTTTTTTATCTTGTTTTTACCTTGGTGGCTTCAGATCTACAAGATGGATGGGAGTCAAACAGGAGCTGAGCAGCACAGCAAATGTGTAGGGCTGTCACCCTCTCTGCTCCCTGTGGTTTGGTCTTGGAAATGATGGCAGATGGAACTAGAAATGAGGGCAGGTAAAATGAATACTGGTTCCCAAGAGCATATGCTTTTCATTTTCTTTTCCAGGTTTGTTTAGTCAGTTAAGCCAAGGATTTCTGTTGGACAGCTGTACCCACACCATGCACTTGCATGGAAACCTCCACTGTGAATCATAGAATCATGGAATCACATAATGCCTTGAGTTGGAAAGGACCTCAAGGATCATCAAACTCCAACCCCCCACCACAGGCAGGGCCACCAACTTCCACATCCTCCACATTTAATACCAGACCAGGCTGCCCAGGGCCCCATCCAACCTGGCCTTGAACACCTCCAGGGATGCACCTGTCATGGTAAGGGACATTGAAGCAGCTCTTTGTTGTGAGCCAGGACAAGCTGTGTAGGCAAGCAGCACTTTAATGCTACCCCTCATGACCTAAAGGTGAGAGAATTTGTTTTAGGTCTGGATTCCCACCAAAGGCTTCCCAAGCTATCATGCAAAATGCAGAAAGAAATGGTACAGTGCTGCTTTGAGGCCATCCCAGTACTGCTCTAAAAAAGAGCAGACACATTTTTAAGTTACACACTGGACTGCCATGCTCTAGTAGCTCCAGAACTGGGACAGAACTCTCTTTTCTCTTAGAGTAGCTGATGATGTGGGGCAGTGCCAACACTAGAAGAAGAGTATTAAACTCTCTTATTGTGACCCTTTGCCTGTATCTGTGAGAAGAAAATGCCATTAATTAGACTTTCAAATTATGCTCAGATATAGAAATCATCTAAATTGCCAGCATTAATAAGACACGCAAGGAAGAGCCTGGACAAACTGAGAGTGAACTCACCAACAGAGGGGATTATACAAATTCAGGTCACTGTACCTAAATAGCCCTGCAGTCTCTCTCCTGTGCCATTGTCTAGAACTGGCTGTCATCAAAAGCTGTCTGTTTGCATCTGCACTGATAGTTCCATGCTGTTTCCATCATGTGGGGACTAAACAGCCTTGAACTTGCCCCACCAAGGTAATCGTAGGTAGGATGGTATGAAGCAACTATTCTTCTTTGACAAAGAGAGCTGTGTCTGATAACACAATCTTCATGCTTTATTATTCTCCAGAGATAAGCAGATTGAGGAACTGGAGCTTCTTGTGCTGAGCAAGACCTGTGGTTCTACACCAGTGCCCACACCTTGTGTGGCCAGTGTGCTGCAAAGCAGGCAGAGCTCCTCTTCTGCAGTCAGCTGGTAGCTGCCTTTGTCCTGTGCCACTGCTGAGAAGCTCCCTTCTGTCTGGGAGCCCTTCTCAGTATATATGCCAAATTTCAGTACTATCCAACTCAAAACTCTAACTTTACTGAAATAACCCAGCAGAGGGGTGGCCAGCAGGAACAGGGAGGTGATTGTCCCCCTCTACTCTGCTCTTGTGAGGCCCCATCTGGAGCACTGTGTCCAGGTCTGGAGCCCGCAGTACAAAAAAGACAGGGAGCTGTTGGAGAGGGTGCAGAGGAGCCACAAAGATGATCAGGGGGCTGCAACACCTCCCAAGTGAAGACAAGCTGAGGGAGCTGGGCTTGTTCAGCCTGGAGAAAAGAAGGCTGCAAGGTTACCTCAATGCAGCCTTTCAGTACCTAAATGGAGCCTACAAACAGGAGGGGAATCAACTCTTTGAAAGGGTAGATAACAGCAGGACAAGGGGAAATGGTTTTAATTTGAGGGAGGGAAGATTGAGGTTGGATGTCAGGGGGAAGTTCTTTGCTATGAGAGTGGTGAGGTGCTGGAATGAGATCAGGAATTGTGGGGATGTGGCACTAAGGAGTGTGGGCAATGGGTATGGTGGGGGTGGGCTAGGGTTAGGCTTGGGGATCTCAGAGGTCTTTTCCAATCTTAATGGTTCTCTAACCATTAAGGCATCTCATGCCATGGAGTATCAGCTACAGTCAGTTCTTCTGACACTGAGAAAGTTTCAGGATGACGCACAGGATGATGCTACCACATTGCTGCCCCATGGAAGGAGCACAGGGAAAAGCATGCAGTCACACACACTGAAAGCCCACACAGTTCTAACCCCTGCCCTGGGCTGGGTGCCCCCCAGCAGCTCAAACTGCCTAGGGCCCATCCGTGGCCTTGAGCAGGGATGGAGCAGCCACTGCTCTGGCCAGCAGTGCCGGGGCATCACTGTCCCCTGAAAACTCAGATTATGGCACAGGCTGGGACTTAGGTTTGAAAGATAAAGTGGATTTATACCAGAATTTTCAAAGAGCTTTTTGGAGATGAAAGGCTGAGTAACCTGGGTCTGTTCAGCCTGAGGAAAAGAAGATTGAGAGGGGATCTGATCAATGTTTATAAATATCTGGATGGTGGAAGGCAAATGGATGAGGTCAGGATCTTCTTGGTGGCACGTAGCAATAGGACATGGAGCAATGGCCTAAAACTTGAACACAGGAAGTTTTGTACAGACATGCAGAACTTTGCAGTAAGGGTGACAGAGCACTGGCACAGGCTGCCCAGAGAGGTGGTGGAGTCTCCTTCTATGGAGATATTCAAGACCTGTCTAGATACCAACCTATGTGACCTATTGTAGGGAACTGCTTTAGCAGGGGGTTGGCTTCTATGATCCCTTGAGGTCCCTTCCAACCCCGGCAGTGCTGGGATTCTGATGATAGAGAAGAAAGCCAGAAGCAGGCTGTGTTTTCCCCAGGCAAAGAGCGGCAGGCAGTGCTTGGCACGCACCTCGAGGGCTGTGTTCAGATTTGGGCACCTCACTATAGAAAGACATCGAGGCCTGTAGTGTGTGCAGAGCAGGGCAATGGAGCTGTGAGGGGTCTGGAGCACAAGTGTTACGAGGAGTGCTTGAGGGAGCTGGGATGAGTCAGTCTGGAGCTGAAGAGCTCAGGGAGACCTCACTGCTCCTGAAAGGAGGTGTGGTGAGGTGGGGTGGCGACAGGACGAGAAACATTTGTCCTCATAAAGAGCGGTGATGCAGGGGCACAGCTGCAGGGAGGTGGTGGGCTCACCGTCCAAGGAGGTGCTCAGAACCGTGGGGATGTGGCACTGCGGGACACAGTGGGCATGGTGGGTTGGGCTGGACTTGGACTCGGGGATCTTAGCGGTCTTTCTCAACGTGAATGATTCCGTTCTTCTACAAACACCGGGCGGGCGATGGGCGTTGGGCGGACTGCGCACTCCTCCACGCCCTCCTCAGCCCCGCCCACCGCGCCTCCATGCCCACCCTGTGCCGCGGAACGCGCGGCCGCAGGGCGCGTTGTGCGCCGGACCGATGAGGAGAGGCACTTCCGGTAGAGGCGGGGTTCCTCCCCCCCCCCAGCACGCCCACTCGGACCGCTATTGGTCAGCGGTGCGTCACATGATCGCCGCCTCGTCCCGTTAGCGGTGGACGATCCGCCCGTTCCACTTCCGCTCCGCTCGGCGCCTCCCGCCGGCCCGGGGGTGCTGGCGGCGGCGGCCTGGCCCCCCTCGGCCCCGGGACTCTCGGTTTCCTTCATTCCCTGCCAGCATGGAGTTCGCCGAGCTGATCAAGACTCCCCGGGCGGACAACGCCGTCCTGCACCGGCCCTTCCACCCTACCGTGGAGGGAACGCTGTGCCTCACCGGGCACCACCTCATTTTCTCCTCTCGGCGCCAGGATAACGAGGAGGAGCTGTGGCTGCTGCATTCCAATATCGACTGCATTGAGAAAAGGTGCGGGCCTTCCCGCCTGCCTCCCTGCCCTCCTGCGCGGTTGTCTCGGGGTTCGGCGGGCTCCATTCTGGTTTCTCCAGGCTTGTTCAGCCTGCAGAAAAGAAGGCTGCGGGGTGACCTCATTGCAGCCTTCAGTACCTAAAGGGAGCCTACAAACAGGAGGGGAGTCAACTCTTTATAAGGGTAGATAACAGCAGGACAAGGGGAAATGGCTTTAAGTTGAGTGAGGGAAGATTGAGGTTGGATGTCGGGGAAATTCTTTACAGAGAGAGTGGTGAGGTGCTGGAACAGCTGCCCAGAGAGGCTGTGATGCCCCGTCCATCCCTGGAGGTGTTCAAGGCCAGGTTGGATGGGGCCCTGGGCAGCCTGGGCTGCTCTGAAATGTGGAGGTTGGCAGGCCTGCCTGTGGCAGGGAGTTGGAGCTTCGTGATCCTTGAGGTCCGTTCCAACCCAAGCTATTCTGTGATTCTCCCCCCTGCTGTTGCAGGAATTATTAGCACTTAGCATTGTGATGCTTCTTGCTGGGATGGTATGGTGAAGCTGTGTTGTGGCTCTGCAGTGGCACTTTACCCTCGCCCATCTCCTTTTGTCACAGGAGCTTCGGAGATGAATCTTCTCCACATTGTTTCTGTTCTGTGCTGTTTCTTCACTGTGCTTCCCTTGTTCTGTTGAGTGACAGACCCCTTTCTGGCCATAACCCTGTGCTGCTTCACTGTTGTCCTTTTCTCAGTTTGGTAATATAATACAGATCTCCCCTGTTTTCCTCTTCTAAAGCAATCTGGAGAAATAGGTTTCCCCTCTGACAAAAGCAGGAAAGATCCAGTAGCAGTGGCTATAAAAATCAGGCTTTCTCACAATGGCTAAAGGACTTGGCACTGGTTAACTTTGTTCCTTTGGCTCTGATTTCTCCCAGTGTTTCTGAGAAATGCTGTTTCCTGGCCTGAGGGTGGAGAGGAACAGAGTGAAACCTAAGGAAATCTGCTCCCATCTGGCACTGCTCAGTCATCAGGGAGGTTTGGCCTTGTCCTCATGGCTGCTGCTACTAAACCAGCTATAGCTCTGTCTCATAAAATGATTATGAAGAAGCTTCTGTTTCTTTTTCATAGAATCATAGAATGGCCTGGGTTGCAAAGGCCCACAATGCTCATCCAGTTCCAACCCCCTGCTGTGTGCAGGTCACCAACCAGCAGCCCAGGCTTCCCAGAGCCACATCCAGCCTGGCCTTGAATGCCTGCAGGGATGGGGCATCCACAGCCTCCTTGGGCAACCTGTTCCAGTGCCTCACCACCCTCTGGGGGAAAAAATTCCTCCTAAAATCCAACCTAAACCTCCCCTGTCTCACTTTAAAACCATTCCTCCTTATCCCATCCCTTGTAAACAGCTGGTCCCCTCCTGTTTATACTCCCTTCAACTACTGGATGGCCACAGTGAGGTCTTTATGGAGCCTTCTCTTCTCTAAAGGGTTTCTGAGTTTCACCCAAAAAGTACATTGTTAATACCAAAGCAACGAGGAGTGTTAAAAGGTCTCTGGAGTGGATATTTTCCTCCCTGAGAATGGCTTTGTGTGAGTAATTGTCCATGTACAAAAGGATGGGAGAACATGTTCTTCTCAGTGCTTGAGGGAATGCAATAAGAAGGCTCTTCAAGCCAATAAGGATTGTAGGAATCTCCTCTTTGGCACAGCCTCAGGTTATTAGTGACTACAGCCCTGGTACCATGTCAGGTTTGTTATCTCTCCTCCCACTTTCATGGTTTGTATTCTGTCTGAAAGTGTTTTCATTACTTACCAGCCCTCAGGATGCTCTTCAACTTCTGGTGGTTTTTCCTGCAACTTAATATGACCTTACAGGTCCTTTTTATGGGGTTACTGAGAAGAGAAGCAGTCTCAAGTAATCTCACATGGAGCTTTTCCTTAAAGTAACAGGGAAAGGGAGTGGTGCTCTGCTGGTTCTGCACATTGGGAGTCTGAAATTGCATGTGCTTTTTGCAGTGCTGTGCACAGAGCAGCTATGTTGGAGATGCAGAAGTACCTCAAAATGCCTCTAGTTCTTCCTTCAGCAGTGCTAAAATCATAATAGGTTCTGCATGCTGACCTTGGCACTGAAGAAATAGATGATCTCCTTTCAGCTGAAGTAATTTCTAAATTACAGGCATTTCTCACAACCCTGGTGAGGCAACCACAGCTTAGCAACAGTCTCCCTTTAGGGCAGTACAGCTCTGACCCTGTATGTGTGCTCTGACTGAAACCTGGCCCTTCAGTTTTCATCTGCTTCTGTTTCTTGCATCACCCATGGCTGCTGGAAGTGCTCTTCTGGTGAATGAGGAAACTTTGCTGCTCTTCCTTAGCCTTCTGTTTTGCAAACTGATATCTGTGTTGTTTCTGTGAATGCTGCTGACAACTTTAAGTGGGGGAAAAACCACCCCTTTTCTGCTCAGGCATCACCCAGCTTTCAGATACGCTAGGAAGACTGGAGAGGGCGTCTGTGTGCTGTGTTTACTTTGCAGCATAGAGCTTTTCTGGTTTGCTTTGTAAATGCCTGTGATAAGAGCTTAGCTTCTGAGGTTTGCAGAACAGATACCTGCAGTGCTGTGGAGCTCTCCGAAACCAAACCTGTTTGTTAAAGGGATGTAATATAGCCAGCCTGAAATGTTTTAAAAATGAAATTCTGCTCACTTGTTTCCAGCTGTCCTTGAAGTTTCAGCATATCACTTTAAGGAGGCTGAGAACTTCATGGAATCATAGAAATGGTTTGGGTTGGAAGGAACTCTTAAGATCACCCAGTTCCAACCCCCTGCTATAGGCAGGGATACCTCCCTCTAGACTAGGGTTGCTCACAGCCCCATCCAACCTGGCCCTGAATGCTTCCAGTCTTATCAGACCAGAAGGTGCCCCTTCTTTTGTATTTTAAAGCAAAGTTGGGATGAAAGTCTTCTCCATCCTGTAATGCCACACCACACAGATGAAATAAAGCAGAGTCCATCTTGAAAACTACCAAATGTATATACATTTTGGAAAGGTGATAGTGCATGTGTTGTACAGGAATTACTGCTAATGGCATTTTGTCTTGTGGGAGAAGCTGTAATACTTCCTCACGTTCTGAAAAGGCTCTTCATGTCTTGCTCTAGGTTTCTGGGCTCAGTGGGGACCATCATTATAAAATGCAAAGATCTGCGAATTATTCAGCTGGATATTCCTGGAATGGAGGAGTGTCTGAACATTGCTAGCTCTATTGAGGTAAGAATTTATAATGGTAAGCATGGATTCTCAGACCTCTGCTGTAGCTCTTCTCAAGTAAGGGGGTAAATGGCATGTAGGACATGTCCTGTTCTTTATTGTGCTGTTAAATATCGTGGCTTGCTCAAGGTTACTATGCAGGCAAATCCTCTATTATGGTTAGATGATTATCAGCTTTCTTGTGATATGTGGCTATATGGCTGCTAAACTACCCTTCAGGAGACTGTATTTCAACCTTGGCAGCTGTGTACTTTTGGATCACTTAAGTTTATTAAGCTTTCATCACCAGTATTAGAGAAAAAACATACAGAAAGTGGTGTTTTAGAGGAAAATGTTTGAATCTCAGCCACGTGTTTATTCCTCTCACCCACACAGGCACTTTCTACGTTGGATTCTGTCACTCTTATGTACCCGTTCTTCTACCGGCCCATGTTTGAAATTGTTGAAGATGGATGGAGTGCTTTTCTGCCCGAGAAAGAGTTTGAAGTCCTCATGTCAGTGGTAAGTTGAATTTAAAGGCTTGCACAGGCACTTGGGTATACTTGTACAAGTAGTTCTTGAATACAACTTGGAGAAGTGAAGGCTCTGGGGGGACCTCATTGTGACCTTCCAGTACTTGAAGGGAGTATAAACAGGAGGGGGAACGGCTGTTTGTGAGGGTGGATGGTGATGGGACAAGGGGGAATGGTTTAAACTGAGACAGGGGAGGTTTAGGTTGGATTTTAGGAGGAAGTTTTTCCCCCAGAGGCTGGTGAGGCACTGGCACAGGTTGCCCAAGGAGGCTGTGGATGCCCCATCCCTGCAGGCATTCAAGGCCAGGCTGGATGTGGCTCTGGGCAGCCTGGGCTGCTGGTTGGTGACCTGCACACAGCAGGGGGTTGGAACTGGATGAGCACTGTGGGCCTTTGCAACCCAGGCCATTCTGTGATTCTATGAAGAGTTTTCCTCCTATAGTGTCTGGTCTGAAAATCTGATTCTAATAGCTGTCCAGTGCCTGGATAGGAAAGGAGTGTTGTTCCAGTATTCTCTCTGAATATCAGGCATTTCTGTTTCTGCTAAATATTACCATCTGGTGTACAGATTTCATTGTACAAATGGAGTTCTGAGGCTCATGTAAATGCTGACTGGGAAGACAGACATCTTCTGTCCTTTGGAGATGGCTGCTTCGTTGTAAGAATTAATTCAGGATCTCTGGCATGGGTTTGCTCAAGTTAATTTTGCATGTGGAGGAGGGTAAATCTTTGTCAACCTCTTACCTGAAACAAGACATCTTTAAACAAATAAATCTACAAAAAATCTTTAAAAATTAGTACTAATTTCTTAGCTTTGAGGTTGATATATCGATGCCCAATTCCAAATACTCTTTGCTCTAGCTTATGCTGGGGAAATACTGGGATTGTTCAGTGGAGAGGATTTCTAGTTGCGTTCCTCCAGGTGCTATGAACACATGTTGATGTTATTTTGGTACCTGAAGGGTAGCAACTGTTCATAGATTCTCTGAATATCCCAGATTGGAAGGGACTTCAAGGATCGTCAAGCTCCAACCCCCTGCCACATGCAGGGCCACCAACCTCCACATTTCACAGCACCCCAGGCTGCCCAGGGCCCCATCCAACCTGGCCTTGAACACCTCCAGGGATGGATGGGGCATCACAGCCTCTCTGGGCAGCTGTTCCAGCACCTCACCACTCTCATAATAAAGAACTTCCCCTGATGTCCAACCTCAATCTTCCCTCCCTCAGCTTCAAACCATTTCCCCTCATCCTACGCGTATCAACCCTTTCAAAGAGTTGATTCCCCTCCTGTTTGTAGGCTCCCTTTAGGTACTGAAAGGCTGCCATGAGGTCACCCCACAGCCTTCTTTTCTCCAGGCTGAACAAGCCCAGCTCCCTCAGCCTGTCTTCATTGGGGAGGTGCTCCAGCCCTCAATTCTTGTGGAATTTCATGTTGAATCTCTTCATTTTAGGATGCTGAGTTTGATGCAGTGGGAGATGGCTGCACCCTGTCTGTTTTAACAGTGCCTTGGGTTAGCCTCTCTGCTCCAAGTCTGTTTCACATTAAGTGTGTGCTTGCTGCATCATCTTGGCTTTCTGAGCCTACATCCATTAGTACAACATCAAAGAATATTGATTTTTTTTTTTAATTTTTTTTTTTTAATCTGCAGTCCAGCCTATCTGCAGGATTTGTTGCTTCCTGTTTGAGTAATAACTGGATCTGATTAGCTTGGCTGGATTCCTGTGGTGAGATCACTAGGAAATTAAGGGAGTTCAGGGATCTTTCTTTTTTTGGTCTCATAATTAGAGTACTGTCACTTGTCCTAGCTTTACCTGCTGTCAGAAGTCATGCAAGCTGATCTGTTACAATAACCAGCACCACAGCTTTTGTTTTAATTGCAGTTGGGTGAGTCAAGCATATAATCAGAGCACTCTCCTGTTGGGAGGCTAAGAAGTGGATGTCCAGCCCAGCAGAGGAAACATGCAGGCATTTCAGTGGGAATCAAAAGGAGGGGAACAGAAGCAGGTCCTGTGTGATGGGAGGATGTGTGAGAGCAGGAAGGCAGCAGCAGGAGACCTCGGAGCTCAGTGAGAGGATGCTTTCCTTTTTATGAGTATTTGAAAACCTTTTTAGATTTCAGGCATTGGCTCACTGCTGACTTCTGAATGTTCCAGCACAGAGATGCAGCTGCTAACACACATCTATTGGTTTTTCTTACAGAGAGGTAAAAGTGCTCGGATAACTTCTTTTGTGGACCTCTCAGCTTTCTGAACATATGCTTTTTGCAAGGCTTATATTTAAAAACCTCATTATTTGTAGTGCTGTGTCTCAATGGCAATGATTCATTCCTTTCAAAGAAGTATTTTTAAGAGTTGTTGATTAATTCTTGGCTTTTAACCCCAAACTTTGTCATTTCTTTCCATTTTTTTAAAGAAATGCAGACAAAAGCCATGTTCAGTTGACTTACTTTCCCTAAACAACAGGCAAATACTGTTGAGCAAACACTTTTTGTTCTGGAAGTAAGCTTCTGTGAGAGATTACAACAAGTGACCAATTGTTCTTTTTCTGTTAAGTCAAAAGAATGGAATTAAGGAGGTTGTTTCCTCTCTTTTATGTTATCTATCTGTATGTGTGGTGCCTTCCCTTCCTCTATATGGCAGCACCTCATCAGCCATGCTAGTTCTAATAGTGCATTCAACAACTGTCTGTTACAGGACAGTTTTAAAGCTCTGAGATGCTTGAAATGACAAAGTATACAAGTTAGAATTTAAAAAAGATGACATAATATGTTGCTTTGTTTTTTTTTTTACTGTGATATTTTGCTGTGTAATAACAGTCTATTTATCTTGACTGATGTTGTTCTCCCAACACTGAGACTTGCCTGTGTGGTTCCTGATGCTTTGGTCTGGTGGAATCTCTCATAGAATCATATGATTCACCTAGCATTGCTTCCAGACCTTGACAGACAGCACTCCCCATTCTAGCTCAGGTTTGGGATTTGGGAGGCTGTTCCTCTGCCACGCATTCTCGCCTTCAATCCACAAAGGATTTCATTTGATCTGAAGAAAACAGAGCGATTTACTAATTTGAGTGTGCTGTCATTTGTTGGGGAATGTTGCAGAATGTGATATTTATTTTCTAAGGAATAATGTCCAGCACAGGGCAGCAGGATTCTCATCAAGCACTGACTCCTTTAGCAGCTATTCTGCTATACCCAACAAATGGACAGAGTAGTTCAGCTGAGAATTAGTCAGAGAAGTACTGGGCTGATGCTTTGTATAAATGTCACAGGAGCAGAGCAGAAAGTCCAGAGTGCTTGCAGGCTCCAAACTGCTGTGCTGTCAGATCACAGAATCACAGAATGGCCGGGGTTGGAAGGGACCTCGAGGATCACGAAGCTCCAACCCCCTTGCCAACATGCAGGGCCACCAACCTCCATGTTTAATGCTAAACCAGGCTGCCCAGGGCCCCATCCAACCTGGCCTTGAACACCTCCAAGGATGGGGCATCCACAGCCTCTCTGGGCAGCTGTTCCAGCACCTCACCACTCTCTGGGTAAAGAATTTCCCCCTGATGTCCAACCTAAATCTTCACTCCATCAACTTGAAACCATTTCCCCTCATCCTACACGTATGAACTCTTTCAAAGAGTTGATTCCCCCCTGTCTGTAGGCTCCCTTTAGTTACTGAAGGCTGCCATGAGGTCACCCCCCAGCCTTCTTTTCTCCAGGCTGAACAAGCCCAGCTCCCTCAGCCTGTCCTCATAGGGGAGGTGTTGCAGCCCGCTGATCATCTTTGTGGCTCCTCTGCACCCTCTCCAACAGCTCCCTGTCTTTTTTGTACTGCGGGCTCCACACTTGGACACAGTATTGCAGATGGGGCCTCACAGATGAGACTTTAGAGACAAATGTGTGTGAGGAGTTGAGGACAGTGAGTGGCTGAATGGGATTAGAATACCCAACTGGATTTTCCAGTTGTCTGAGTGATCAGAGGAGAGCTAATAGATGGAGATGGACAGGCTTCCCTTCTGCTCACTTGTAGGACTGCAGCATACTGTGAACTGTATCTCTGAAAATGCAGCTTCCTCTTAAAGTTAAATGAAAAGGCCCTGAAAAGTTGGTACATGAACAATGTAATCAACACAAGAGTATGTCATTGTCACCAAATTGGGTTCTTTTTTTCCTTAGTGATTGTAGAAAAGAGCTTAGAATCATAGAATCACAAAGTTGGAAACGACCTATAAGATCATCCAGTCCAACCATCTCCTCATCACCATTGCCACCACCAGCACTAAACCATATCACACAGCACGTCATCCAGATGCCTCTTGAACGCTGCCAGGGATGGTGACTCCACCACCTCCCTGGGCAGCCATTCCAGTGCCTGACCACCCTCTGAGAGAAGAAGTTCTTCCTTATGTCCAACCTAAACCTCCTCTGGTACAACTCGTGGCCATTGCCCCGTGTCCTGCTCGTTGCCAGGGAGAAGAGGCCAAATCCCTCTTCGCCACAACCTCCCTTCAGGAAGTTGTAGAGTGCAATGAGGTCTCCCCTGAGCCTCCTCTTCTCCATACTGAACAATCCCAGCTCCCTCAGCCACTCCTCATAAGACTTGTGCTCCAGACCCCTCACCAGTTTCGTTGCCCTTCTCTGCACACGCTCCAGGACCTCAACATCTTTCCTGCAGTGAGGAGCCCAAAACTGAACACAGCACTCGAGGTGCGGCCTCACCAGTGCTGAGTACAGGGGATGCTCACCTCCCTGCTCCTGCTGGCCACACTATTTCTGATGCAGGCCAGGATGCCGTTGGCCCTCTTGGCCACCTGGGCACACTGTTGGCTCATGTTCAGCCGAGCATCAACCAACACCCCCAGGTCCTTCTCTTCTTCACACTCATCCCCAAGCCTGTAATGCTGCATGGGGTTGTTGTGCCCAAAGTGCAGAACCTGACACTTGGCCTTGTTGAACCTCATCCCATTCACCTCAGCCCAGTGGTCCAGCCTGTCTAAATCCCTCTGCAGGGCCTCCCTGCCCTCAGGCAGATCCACATCACCTCCCAGCTTGGTGTCATCTGCAAATTTACTGAGGGTGCACTCAACACCCATCTATTAATATCAGTAAAGATATTAAACAAGATGGGCCCCAGTACTGAGCCCTGGGGGACACCACTTGAAACAGGTCTCCAGCTGGACTTCACTCCATTCACCACGACCCGCTGGGCACGGCCCTCAGCCAGTTCCTTACCCAAAGAAGGTCCAGACCACAGGCAGCCAGTTTCCCCAGAAGAAGCCTGTGAGAGACTGTGTCAAAGGCTTTGCTGAAGTCCAGGTAGACTACATCAACAGCCCTTCCCTCATCTACCAGACTGGTCACCCAGTCATAGAAGGAGATGAGGTTGGTCAAGCACAACATGCCTTTCACACACCCATGCTGGCTGGGCTTGATCCCCTGGACACCATGCACATGCCATGCAATCTCATCCAAGATGATTTGCTCCATAACTTTCCCTGGTACCAAGGTCAGGCTAACAGGCCTATAGTTCCCCGGATCCTCCTTATGGCCCTTCTTGAAGATGGGAGTCACATCAGCAAGCCTCCAATCCTCTGGGACCTCACCAGTTAACCAGGAGAGTTGATAGATGGCCGAGAGGGGCTCAGCAATCACCCCTGCCAGCTCCCTCAGCACCCGAGGGTGCAGCCCATCCAGTCCCATGGACTTGTGACGGTCCAGATGGAGGAGAAGCTCTAAAGGTCTTAGAATCCTGGACAGCTTTTATTTACCCGTCCTGGAGTTTATTATGGGTAACTGAATTTTCTGGCTCACTTTGCATCAGTGTAGATTTTACTTCTGTCAGACAAGGATCAATCTTGGCATCTGTTGTTACCCTTCCCATCTCTGCACAAACTGTTGCAGGGCTTGCAGCCATCTGCCTGTTCCTGGTAGGGACTCCTATTGCTGCTTTGCAGGGTTCTTCTAGCTCCGTGTAGGCTTCTAGTGCTCTTCTAAGTCTTATTAGCAGAGCCCAAATTACTTCATACTCTGTTTTGTTGGCAGTGACCTCTTCTAGCAATGATAAGCTTTTGGGAGGAAGGATAACTATTGCTCTAGCCTTCCAGTAACATTTGAAAGTTGCTATCTCTAAAAAGTAGTGAGACAAACAAAGTAGAAATGTGAGAATCTCATACTAACACTGACTACCTTTCTTCCTTTGGAGTCTTCTCTTCCCTTTTTGTGCTCATTCCATGATCCTTTGCACTTCCAGCCTTAACTGGAATTTGGTTTTGAGGCTTCTTCAAGCACAGATCCCTTGCTGGGATAAGTTCATGCTGGAGTAAGCTTTGACAGCTCTGCAGGGGGTAACTGGATCTCTGCAGAAGTGGCCATGCTGCAGAAGGCAAATAGTGCTAATTGCTGCCATTCTCCTCTTCCTTGCCATATAGATTACAACTGGATAACATAACAGTATCTGTCTCATGTTATAAATGGTGAGGAGAGGCAGTTGTGGACAGAGTGAAGTTACCAGTGGAGATAAATCAGGTTGCTGCTTTCGTTCCCTGTCATGCTGGGGATATCAGTGACAGCCAGTCTCTCCAAAAGTGTACTGCAGAGTTTTGATTCTGCCTTCCCTGCATCCTATGTGACAGTAAAATATTTGTCAGTTCCTTTCTATGTCCATGCATATTATTTTCCATTGTAAATAAGTTGTGGATGGTCATCTCAAATGTGCTGTAATTTGACACAGGCACCCCAATGAGCTCTAAAAACATCCTTTCTGATGCACCAAAAGCAGAGCTGTCACTAGTCAGCCTCTCATATGCAATCAAGGCATTTTTCATCTCTTCCTGTGATGCGTTTGCCAGAGGCAGTTTAACTTTGGCATCTGGAAAAGACTTTACTCCTTAGTGTAGATATTCAAAGAAGCTGTCTTGAGCTAAATGAACTGAACCCAGTTAGCAGTTGCTGTCCTTGATAATACACACAGTTGCATTTTCCAGCATCTTTCTTAGTCTGCCTCCAAAAGACAGTTTTGCTGCCCCTTGGGTCCCGCATCCCTCGCACTGCATCTGTTGATGATGAAGCCATGTCATGGATTGGATCAGCTTGTTCATCTGGTGGGAATGCCTCCTTGCAAGGAAACACTTCTAAATTGATCCAGTGAGCTGAGCAAGAAGCTTTGCATGATTGGGTATCAGTCAGGAGGTGTAAGGCTGACCTTCCTGAAGGCATTCAAGGCCAGGCTGGATGTGGCTCTGGGCAGCCTGATCTAATGGCTGAGGGCCCTGCACGTAGCGGGGGGGGGGTTGCAACTAGATGATCTTTGAGGCCTTTTTCAACCCAGGCCATTCTATGATTCTATGAATCAGTTTTCTTCATATGATCACAGACAGAAAGTCTGCCTCTAGTCAAAGCCTGCAACGCTTTGCTGTCCTAGGATGGTGTCAGTGCTGGGCTGAGCATGCAGGCTGGGTTTGTCCAAGGCTTCAGGTAGGGCAGCATCCAGCCTGGACTTCAGTGAGAGCCTCTCATCAGTGAGACCACTTGTTGACCTTTGATTTTACCTGAAATGGAGCCAACTGTCGTGTGTGACCCGAGGTATCTGATAGCCCATGTGTTCTGCCAGCTGCTTGTTGGAAATAGCACCGGCTGAATGCTGGCAGCCTGCAGGTTCTTGCACAAGCATTGGGCTGCTGGAAGCTGGACAATTATGTAATAGGAGTTCACTTTGTGCTCAGATGCTGGGGTGGTTCTAGGAAGTGCTTTTGGGGAAGGAGCTGTAGGGCTTTACATAAAGCAGAGCCCAGACTAAAGGTGTGAAATTGCAATTTTAACCTCAAAGCAGCTTCATCACCTGAAATGGGTGAACGTTTTTACCTTTCTTGGCCTTCTTTGCCCTGTGGGCAGCAGAGAACTGAAGTGTTAGCAGCTCCAGTCTCAGTGTAGTTATAGGTTTGAGTATATGTTACTTGTACTTTATTTTTTTTAATTGAAATCCATGGTTACAATGGTGTTTATGCATTCCTGTTCTGAGGTCACTCTGGGAGTGAGATGCTGTACTGTCTCTCTAAGACTGAAGTTGCCTGCTTAGTAACTTAGACCATAGTGTGTACTGCAGGTATGTTTCTTGCTGTGCCTGTGAAATAATTCAAAGCCACAACCACATATTTCTGACCACATGGATGAATTTTGTGCTGTTGGACGGTATGGAAAAACTAAATCAGGAGCTGTTGTTGAACAAATTGCACCCCTCAAGAAGCACAGTCATCTCAGTGCTTCGCAGGCAGCAGAAGAGATGACCAGCATGCTGGGGTAATGAGCTTCTGGGGGCTGCTGCAGCATGGTTGCAAACAGCATCAGGAGATTGGGGTTTTTTGGGGGAGGAAAGGATCAGTCAGCAATTCTATAAGTGGATGCTAGAAGGGCTGTAGGCAGGGATATCCCTTCTGTATCTGATGTGGAAGCTCCTTTTCCTTAGTAAGCCTTACTGTAGGAGTAACAGCCTGTGTGTTCTGACCCAATGCCTGTATGTGCTCATCTCTTTCAGACAGATCAATGGCGTCTAAGCTACATCAATAAGGACTTCTCCATCTGCCCTTCCTACCCTCCAGTGGTTGTTGTCCCCAAATCCATCAGTGATGAAACACTTAAGAAGGTTGCAGCGTATCGCCACGGCGGTCGCTTCCCGGTCCTCAGCTATTATCATAAGAAGAACAGCATGGTAAGCTGCATCTGTTAGTTGCTCGTACCTGAAAGAGGCATATAAACCTGCTCAGATCTCGTCAGCCTTCTTTAATGACAAACAACTTGTGCTCTAGACTTAATGCAGTTCATGAGACGTTCTCTCGTATTATTTTCCAACTTATTTTTAAGCTTCGAAACTGCTTCTGGGTGATGGAATGAGTAATCTCCAGCTTAGAAGTAGCTATTAATATGCTTGTTTGGGCACATACATGGCATGAGCTTGTCTCATCTTGCCCTTAGCGCTGTGAGCTTGTAAAGCCATAATTGGCACCCTAACTTGCTTTATCTGCCAAGAGGCTTCGTACTGAAAGGATGGCAGAAACCACATTGTCCTGTCTCTGGGTGATGGCTGCCTTCTTCACAGTGGAACTGTGGTGACAGCAAGTGTGCACGGAGCCAGCACTGCTTCTGCTGTGTAACTGTTGGTTGAGTGATCAGAACAATCTGTTCTCCAAGCCTTTCAGTATAATATGTTTCAGGAGCAGCAAAATCCTGCTGTTGCACAGACTCCAGGAAGTGATACGTTATAATTAAATGTACTTTATGAAATCATTGAGTAATTCTCTGTATTTTGCTGATGTAGTCAGTTCTGAGGATGTTGGGGTACCCAGCTTGCATCCTTGATCCAGGTTCCTGGGTCAGATGCTGTGTTTTTACCTCCCACGGACAAGGTTTGTAAGGACACCTGATCTAATCCTGCACTACTCTACTTTTGTGACTGTTTTTTTTTTGCCTCCAATTTCCTAAGTCATACACTCAGCTCTTTCTCTGCTTGGATGAAACCTGTTGAAGGAAGACTTGTGCAGTCACCCGTCTGAATTGTTCATGTTTCGGGTGTGAGGAATGTAACAGCATTTGTCTCAGTGCGTGAACTTGTGACAGTAAAGCTGTCTGTCGTGTTGCTCTCTTGGCTTTGGGCTCTCAGTGCAGCTGGGGGTGCTGACTGGCTGCCCTCACCTCTTAAATGCTTCAGCTGTTGGCATGCAGCAGAACTCTAGTTTGAAAGGCAATTACGAAAGAAAAATCTCAGCTAATAGATCTGTAGAACCAGGGCTTACTCGTGTAGCTGCTGAGTAGAACTATTCCTAACTTACCTGCATCTTTAGCAGCTGGATGACTCGAGTGACACACAGATTTGGAAAGAGACTTTAAAAACGATGATCCTAAAAACATTGGTTTGTGAAGGAATCGTCAGCAGGAGTTTGTGAAGATGGCCCTGCAATAATAATTAAAGGGATTAGGTCTCTGAGGAGTCTAATGTAAGAGGTGCTCTGCCAAATGATTGCATGACTTTTGAATAAGCTCGGTCTCTGCACTTGAAAGAATGGAAGATTCAGGACAAGGGGAAACAGGAGAAACAGAGAAACGTGTGGTAGTGTTTTTGTGCATCAAACAGTGCAGACAAGCACATTTTTCTGATTGTCCTGATGTTGTGGATCAAACTTGAAGTAGATATAAGAAGTGCAGTGGGATGAGGGGTCTGTTTGAATCATGGAATGGCCTGGGTTGCAAAGGCCCACAGTGCTCATCCAGTCCCAACCCCCTGCTGTGTGCAGGTCACCAACCAGCAGCCCAGGCTGCCCAGAGCCACATCCAGCCTGGCCTTGAATGCCTGCAGGGATGGGGCATCCACAGCCTCCTTGGGCAACCTGTGCCAGTGCCTCACCACCCTCTGGGGGAAAAACTTCCTCCTCAGATCCAACCTCAACCTCCCCTGTCTCAGTTTAAAACCATTCCCCCTTATCCTATCACCATCCACCCTCATAAACAGCTGCTCCCCCTCCTCTTTATAGGCTCTTCTCAAATATTGGAAGGACACCACAGAAAAACTGCAGATCCAGGAGTGCTCCATTTGCATTTTCCTCTCTGAGCAGATACGTAAGAAGCTCCTAAAGGTTGAGAGCCTTAAGACTCTTGTTTCCTAATTTGGGATTACTTGTCTCCACAGGTCATGATGCGAAGCAGCCAGCCTCTGACAGGTACAAATGGGAGACGCTGTAAAGAAGATGAGAAACTTGTTAATGCCACTCTTCGTCCTGGGAAGCGTGGGTACATCATTGACACGAGGTCCCTGAGTGCTGCCCAGCAGGCCAAGGCCAAAGGAGGAGGCTTTGAACAAGAAGTGTATTATCCCCAGTGGAGGAGGATTCACAGGTGCATAGAGAGGTGGGTGAGATCACACAGGCCCTCTTCTGCACTGGACTTTGTAGGGTTGTGTTGGCAGAGCCATGCCAGCTCCATGGAATAATTGTCTTCTGTAAGACATGGCTGTGCATCTTGATTGTTGTCAGTAGGGTTGCATTCTAGCAAAATGAAGGTTTTTGGCTTTGGAAAGCTGTGCTGAGTTCCTTGTTTTGAACGGCTTGCTGCTGCAGGTTTCAGATATTTTGCAATCTCCCTGTGCCATCTATGTTTCTGGTCATCCATAGTTGCCATCCAGCTTTCCTCTTTGCAGTGCACAGGAATGAAGAAGTCCTTTGCTAGAGAATTGCTACAGGTGAGGTCTTGAGCGTGGCTGTCACAACTTTGTATCCAGTACTTTTCTCTGGAAATGTAATACTTTATTGGCTGTGTGGTGACAAGTTACTGGAGTAAACAGACCTTTGATCTGACTTTGTTCAACTGCTCCTAAGCCTTGGTTTTGGGGAGTCTTTCTATATGGGCACGCAGTAATGTTGCTGGATCTGTTGGAAGTCAGTTACTCTTCTTACTTGCTGTGTAGGCTAGCTTCTGAGGAGCTAATAGGATTTTCCTATCCTCTACTTCGAATTGTTAGGTTTTGCTTCTCAAAACTGTATGGAATTGAGCTTGACGTTGGTTACTTTGCAGGTAGATGGTAGGCATCAGGTTTATTCATTCCTCTCTCTGCATTTCTTGTAAGGTTTTTTAATCTTTTTGAGGTCTGCTCTACTGGCTGCATCCTTTGTTACCCTGAGCACGTGCTGGAGTCAGTGTGAAGTGACATCTGATCCATTTGTAGTTTGAGGCTTCTGGATGGCATGTTGTGACGTAGGGCCAGAGAAGCAGCTCACTTTACCACTGCATGCAGAATGCCAGCTTTCCAGATCTTGAGGATGCACTACAACAACTGCAAAAGTGAAACAAAATGCATTCCCTCTCCCTGTCCTTTTCACCTTCTGCCTTATTAACTTAGCCAAACTCATCTTCGTGTGGTCCCACATTGCGAAGCTGAGTCTGGCGTAGAGTTGTGAGTTGCAGTGGGAGTTATGTGATGAATGGCTTTTGGGTTACTTATTGCAGCTCTGCAGGTTAAAGCAGCTAGGATAATAGGAAACAAAACACTTGAAGCTTGGCTCATGCTTGCTAATGTCCATGCCAGACTGCAGCAACACGTGTATTTGCTAACAAGGCTGCTGAAGCACTTTGCATATAAAGTGTAGGTATGGCTGAATGCAGGCAGAGCTCAGATCTGAGCTCTGTTGTAATACCCCACAAAGCAATTTGCTTTGAAATGGAAGAGACAACTTCTGTCCAGACAGTGGTGTTCTGCTGGCAGCTAGCCATGGCTTGGGATTCCTGGTGAAAGCAGGCTCTGAATAACCACATGACATCTCTGGGGTCATCCTTCCTCATGTAACTGTGTATAACTCTCAGTGCTTCATTTTGGTATCAGTAATTCTGAGATCAATGTGTGTCTTGTCTGTTTTTCTGCATTACTGCTAATATTTTCAATATTTTGCCCTTCCCAAAGGTTTAATATTCTGCAGGAAAGCCTCATCAAACTCGTAGAAGCTTGCAATGACCAGTCACACAACATGGACCGCTGGCTCAGTAAACTGGAAGCTTCCAACTGGATGACTTACATCAAGGAGATACTCACTGCAGCTTGCCTAGCTGCTCAGTGTATTGATAGGTAAAGCTTTTTATTTCTTATTCAGAGAGCCTAAGGTTTCTCATTCACTGGTTAGAAGAATTGTTAAATACATTTATTTCCTGTTTAGGTGTTAAGCATTTTTTCAACTGGAAGCTTCCAGTACCCCAGGTCACTTTCAGGCTGCTTCTAGGAGAAATGGATTTCTTTATTATTCCCCTGGGAATTGGTCCATTGCAAAGAGCTCTCAACCTTTATCCCCATAGTCTATCTGAGCAATCTTGCTCATTCATTCTAAGTGTTTGTGACCTCTTCTAACCTAATGTTTCTTTAATAAATGCTCCTAACTTGACTAACTTGTCCTCAAGCTTGAGAGAGAAGCTTCATGTCAGGTGTCAGGATTTAAGACCAAATTTAGGGGTGTAAATGCAGTCTTTTTGTGGCCCTGGAAGGAGAAGGCCTTTCTCAAGGCTGAAGAACCCCTCGCGTTTCGTAGCAGCTTGGGAACATTACACAGTTACACAAGCAAAGCTGAAATGCAGCCTCATTGGTAGAATAGCATTACTGCATTGAAATATGAGCTACTGTGCCTTCTAAAAGCGCTGATGGTATCTGTTTAGTTATAGGCTGTGCCAGGAAAGGATGGCTCTCAAATCAATGGCTTTATCTGTAATTCTTTCCCCTTGTGTACATTCAGAAAAATCAGTGATGAAACTCCTCTGGCTTCTTGGGAGAGCAGACGGTTTTGTCATTTTTAACCTCTCCTTTTTTCTGTTTCCTGGAGTTCTGACGTGCCAGCACCAATCTGATGCCTTGCCTGCCTCGCTTGGAGGCTGGTGATGGCAGCTGAGCTGATAAAAGTGGCTCAGTTATGTTGGCTCCAGGGAGGGAATGGCTGGAACATCTTTCTGGGGCAAAAAAGATGAAATGTAAAACTGTTATCCCCATGTGCTCTGCTTTGATGAGAGCATAGGCTTGGTGATTGACTTCTGCAGTTGTGCTTGGCAGTGAAGGGGCCTCTGCCTCTGTCTGGGGGAGGAGCAGAGAAAATATCTGAAGATCATCTGAACTGTTGAAGCACTGGATTTATTTTAGGTTTAGGACTGTAAACAAAGATGTTGCAATGTTTAAGGTATGCATTTATTACTGCTTTTCAATTCAAAAACATCTGTCTGCTTCTCAGATGGAGCTGTTTTACCCAAGCTTTGCTGCTATACTTGGGTATCTGCAGAGAAACAAGTACAGTGAATCTCCTTTCTATGTAATGATGCTAGCAGAATTGAGACATCAGTTCAAGGTCTGGGAGGAGTTAAGGGATATAAGTGCCATTTAATACCATCCAGTCTTTCCTTCATGAGTACTTAAATTCAGTTCTGGAAGTATATCCAAATATGGCCTGGGATGGAGGAAGAGGGGAGGGAATCAGATGTCTTGGGGTGTGGGTCATGTGAACCCCTAGCAGTGTGCAAGACCTTCCTGTCCCAGACTGCCACATGTTTTGCTCCTCATGTTCTGCTGCTTCACTTGTGCTGGCTGGTGAGCAGGAAGCCTTTGTTCTTGGCTCTTAGACAAGCTTTCTTGCTCAGGACAAACAATTTGTCTCCCTTTCTGGAGACCAAGCTCTGCCTTTCTTCCTTCTTTCTCCTGAACTGGCTTGCTTCTCTTTCAGGAAACACCAGTTAAGGTGCAGGTGTGAGCAAGAATCTCACAGTACTGTTTTACAGAACACTTGGGAAGATGATCCATCTTCAGAGGGTATGGGAGCATTTCAGAGTACTTAGCAAAACCATAAATGATGAGCAAAGTCTAATGTGTTGGCATCCACTGGGGCGTGTTTATGGGATGTGTTCTGCTCATTCATACTGTTATTCCCTTCCATCTTTCTCACAGGGAAGGTGCATCAGTGTTGGTTCATGGGACTGAAGGAACTGATTCAACACTCCAGGTAACTTCTCTGGCACAGATTATCTTGGATCCAGACTGCAGGACCATACAAGGCTTTGAATCTCTTCTTGTCAGGGAGTGGCTACAGGTAAGTCCTGGTGGATAAAATGTCAATCTGTTCTCTTGGCATTTGCATTGGGAAATGGCCTGAGAGGCAGTAAGCAGGTTACACCTTGGTGTACATGTGTGAACAAACAGTCCTTGTCTGAAGAAGCAGAATCACAGAATTGCCAGGATTGGAAGGGACCTCAAGGATCGTCAAGCTCCAACCTCCCTGCCACAGGCAGGGCAACCAACCTCCACGTTTCATAGCAGCCCAGGCTGCCCAGGGCCCCATCCAACCTGGCCTTGAACACCTCCAGGGATGGACGGGGCATCCACAGCCTCTCTGGGCAGCTGTTCCAGCACCTCACCACTCTCATAATAAAGGACTTCCCCCTGACATCCAACCTCAATCTTCCCTCCCTCAACTTCAAACCATTTCCCCTTGTCCTGCTGTTATCTACCCTTTCAAAGAGTTGATTCCCCTCCTGTTTGTAGGCTCCCTGTAGGTACTGAAAGGCTGCCATGAGGTCACCCCGCAGCCTTCTATTCTCCAGGCTGAACAAGCCCAGCTCCCTCAGCCTGTCTTCATAGGGGAGGTGTTGCAGCCCCCTGATCACCTTTGTGGCTCCTCTGCACCCTCTCCAACAGCTCCCTGTCTTTCTTGTACTGGGGGCTGCAGACCTGGACACAGTGCTCCAGATGGGGCCTCACAAGAGCAGAGTAGAGGGGGACAATCACCTCCCTGTCCCTGCTGGCCACCCCTCTGCTGATGGAGCCCAGGACACCATTTGCTTTCCGAGCTGCGAGAACACACTGCTGGCTCATGTTAAGCTTTTCATCCATCAGGACCCCCAGGTCCTTCCCCACAGGGCTGCTCTCAAGCACCGCTCCTTCCAGTCTGTACGGATGCCTGGGATTCCTCCAGCCCAAGTGCCAAACTCTGCACTTTGCTGTGTTGAACCTCATCAGGTTCACCCGGGCCCACCTTTCCAGCCTGCTGAGGTCCCTCTGAATGGCATCCCTTCCTTCCATGATGTCAACCGCACCACTCAGCCTGGTGCTGTCAGCAAACTTTCTGAGGATGCACTCGATTCCATAGTTGATGCTATTGATGAAGATGTTACAGAGCACCGGTCCCAAGACAGAGCCCTGGGGGACGCCGCTCGTTACCGGGCTCCACCTGGACACAGAGCCATTGATGACCACCCTCTGTCTGCAGCCCTTTCTACCAGTTTCTTATACATAGAGTGGTCCACCCATCAAATCCACATCCCTCCAATTTGGAGATGAGGATGTGGTGGGGGACCGTGTCAAAGGCCTTGCTCAAGTCCAGGTAAATGACATCAGTCACCTTTCCCTTGTCCACTGATGCCGTCACTCCATCACTGAAGGCCACCAGATTGGTTAAGCACGACCTTCCCCTGGTGAAGCCATGCTGGCTGCCTCAGATCACACGCTCATTCCTCATATGATCAAGCATGTCATCCAGGAGGATCTGTTCCATGATCTTCCCAGGCACAGAGATGAGACTCACTGGCCTGTAGTTCCCCAGGTCCTCCTTGCTCCCCTTCTTGTAAATGGGAGTGATGTCACCCTTCTTCCAGTCACCCAGGACCTCACCTGACAGCCATGACTTTTCAAATACGATGGAGAGCAGCTCGGCAACCACCTCAGCCAGCTCCTTCAGAACCCTGGGATGCAGCCATCCGGCCCATAGACCTGTACACATTCAGTCTCATGAGGTGATCTCGGACTTGTTCTGCCCTTACAGTGGGGGGGATTTACTGCCCAGGTCCCCACCCAGAGGTTTAGGGATGCAGGGCTCAGGGACGTGAGAAATACTGGAATCCTGGCCACCAGTGAAGACTGAGGCAAAGAACTCATTCAGTACCTCAGCCATTTCTTCATCCATTGAAGACAGTTCTCCCTTTACATTTACCACAGGAGGCACACTAGCTTTGACCTGTTTCTTCTGGCCAATGTACCTGTAGAGTCTTCCTATTTACAAGGGGATTACAAGGGTGGATAGTGATAGGACAAGGGGGAATGGTCTTAAGCTGAGACAGGGGAGGTTTAGGTTGGATATGAGGAGGAAGTTTTTCCCCAGAGGGTGGTGAGGCACTGGAACAGGTTGCCCAAGGAGGCTGTGGATGCCCCAT